AATATTGATAATGTTTTCTTCAACAAAATGTCTACCGATTATGTTTACTATAATATAGTTTCCAGAGCCTGATATTATTTTATGAGGTACCGCGACTACCGCATGAATAATAGATGGATAGTATTGACTCCTGTATATTTTTTTATCCAATTTTTTTAAAAATTTATATGTAATTAAAACATACAACTATAACATTATACTCACTCTATAAATTATAAATCGAGTAGGCAGGTGTTCCCTACAAACAAACAGACGAACAAAATTAAACATGAACGCCATCCTATATCGTGCCTGCTGCTGTATACATGACATTTTAGGTATATATTTTAGAACTGTAATGCGGGTACAGGCCATGTGTTTATTTTTTGTCATTGTATACTATGTACCTATAATTAATTTATCAAGTTGGAGAATTATTATTTATTATTCAAATAAAAATGCACACAGAATAACTGTCGAGTACAGTTTATTTTGGGATTCTAATACATACCAGCAAGCTAATACATAAAATATACATCATTTTTAATTTTGATTAAAAAATAGACTTATTACTATTAATTTGCGAATTATAATTATTATGGTATAATATAATATAATATAATATAATATATACACATATGACATATATATATATATATATATATATATATATATATATATATATATAATATATTATGCGTGTGTGTGTTTGTAGTTATAATATATTATACCTCAAGTGATCGATCATTCAATCCAAGCGAGTGTTTATCTTTATTCCTAGGAATGATCATAATATACATAGTAGTTCTCAGATTAATTTCAATATATTATATTATACACAAACGCGAACCTGTTATTTAAGCACCGATGTAAGATTTTCCCACAAAATCAACATTATTGAAAGAAAAATGAGAAAATTATTCGTGTAAATTGTGATTGGTTTTATTAATGGACAGCTGGTAAATATAATTTTTATTCCATAATATAAAATATAATGACAACACATTCGGCGATGTTGCTGAATGAACTGTTGAAAATATCAACGGATTACAGTGTGAACAATTTTTCAATGAATTTCAGAATAAATAATAATATATTATTAAACAGAGTTTAGATGCTTATCGAGAGGGAAAATATTGTTTTAATTTAACGAGTGGTGTAAACGAGTTTTTAACACTTTACCTGTGTCTGGTAATGGTATTTTTCTATATATTCTTAACATGTTTAATTGTTGTTAAAAAGTATATGTATATTTTTTTAATAATATATTTTGAGGTAAGAAACGGTTATGTATAAACACTAGACGCCCATTTAACCCATTGTGGATTTGCTAAAAAGCCGGTAATACTCAGCTCAATTGCAAATCCTCCAAGTCTCAGCATCAATATAATTATTATCATATTTAAACTACACACGACAAAGTCCAACTAAACGTGCAACGTGGATGATGGATGAAAACATAATAATACAAATTTGACCATCAAAGTAGGAATACCTACTGTTGGCGCCAATAGTGGCAAGATACTAATGCAAAAAAAAATCCGAATTTCCTATTCACGATTGGAAAATAACACACATAATATAAATAAATAACGTTATTATAATGGGTTATGTGTTGAGTCAGATGAGAGTTTATATCATATGTACTGTTCACGCCTAAACTACCTAAACCGAAGTGTCCCGGCATAAAAGATGTCGGTCTGTCGTAGTCGGTGAATAAATTTTGCATTTATATACCTGCCAGGATTTGTTTTGTAAACATTTGTAGGTGAAGGGGAAAAAAAGGAAAAGAAAAATACAAGGATGGTATTTTTTGCCACAAGTGTTACAAGCACGGTGAATACCGAACACCGATCGAGACACATATTATCATTCATTGATCCGATTTTTGTCGACTATACTTATGTATTGACACATTTTGACGGTATACAGTTTACACAATTGAGCAAAAAAAAAAATAACATGTTCCAGTTTCTTGGGGGACCAAGGCTGTACCTACAATGTGTGTACAATACATAATGTATTGTACACACACTCACAACCTACCTGCAGGATATCGTGACATCGTCATTGACGTTAAATATATACCTTCTCGAGTAGTGACCGATATCTTCTCCATTCATCATGCAATTCATGATGAATAAATGTATGAAATGTAATTTATTTGATGTGTTACAAAGGCACAAAAAAACCACTAACAAAAGTGGTTTATAAATTTAGCTAAAAACAGCCTAGCCCAAGACTCCTCTAATTATTTAACTATGTCAATTAACAGACAATAAGCAACACAAAAGTTTAACAGCTGTGTTATTATTTTCAGATTTGGTTAAAAAATGCAGGCCGTTGGAGTACACAGAAAAATACATAGTTGATCCAACTAAAATTATGATCTATATATTTGTTTAGTTATTCCATTATTCCAACTAAAAATTTACAGTGTCCCTAAGTCTTAATTTAAAATTAATGAGGTTGAGGTTAAAATTGTTCTTTGAGTTAAGATGTTGCTTATCAATTTAACATTTAACACTTAAGTTTATTAGCATTTTTATTTTATAACAAAAACTAATAAAAATGTATGCAATATTACAATTTACAGGTATTTTATACAAGAGTTAAGCGCTTTGTTATTCTGCAAATGTGTCAATAACTTTGTTTATGTTAATAAAATGTGTCATATCCTTTTATAATTATAATATTGGCAAATCTGTAAGTCTGTCCTGTCTCATTGAAACCCTAAGCCAAATCTTTATTTTTTTTAAGTAGTAAACGAGCGTTCATAAGATGTAGAACTATCAATTTGATAGCCACATTAAATTGAAAAATAATACTAAATAATAAGTACTGTTTTTTTTTTATTAATCATTTTTATAAGTATAGGTTTTAGTACATAAACTGAACAAATATTAGAGGGGGCTTATTTTAAAATTGGGAATGCTAATACCCTTAAGCCCCCTCCTAATTGTGTCTATGGTGTCTCTATATTAACCATAATTTTAGTTGGTCCAACTATGTATTTTTTTCCGTGTAGGTACTTAACAGTGAAGACATTATGAATCTCCTCTCGTTACTATACTTGAAACAAAAAACAATTTTGAGGTACTAATTTCAATAATGCTAAGCACACCCAAGCCCCATCGAGTACGCTTTTCATCATTTCGGTTTTAACTAATTGTTGGCGAAACGGTGGTGTTAACTAGCACATGTAATAATACCATTATACTATATTCTTATTATTGTAATAATACACTCGATTGTTAATAAGAAAATAATAATTGTTAAAATAATATTTAGCGACGTACAAAGTAAATTTTCAAAACCCTAAAGGGTGGTTTATATAATTCAACCAGAGGGAGCGTTTGGAACGAATCCGACCCTACTTAAAAGAATGTTATAGTATACTCTACAGGGTCATGTTATTAACGTATAATGTATATTACAGTTTATGTATGGGGTAAGAGGGTGTATATTGTAAAAAGCGTAAAACGTTTAATTTGCTTTGACGCTAAATCTATTATACATGTTATGCGTAGTTTATTGTTATTATAAAGTTACAGTCTATTGTAATAAATAATACATAATAGTTTTAGTATACTAGAATATTATAGTTTATTAGAACAAAAATCTACGATTTGTGTTGCATGTCCAATTTTAACATTAACACAACAGGGTTCTATGAAATCATATTTTTTTTATTACATTTTAATAAGTTATAAATTCAAGTTTATTAAAAATTATTATAATATTGGTAATTATTATAACTCGTATACTATATCATGCAATATAGACATTGAAAACTATAACGTTAGAATGTTAGATCAACGAGATTTTGACAATTGGTTTTGTACCGGTAAGAAAATATTGTAAAGAAAAGTGTAATTTGATAGCACAACAAATGCAATGAATAATTATATGCATTATACGTTAAGTAGATACTAATAAAATAAGGCAAATGTTATAGGTATAAAGGATTGTTTAGGAAAAAAACGCATATGCCATTAAAATCGTAATATATATATTATATACTAACTTTTTTACCAAAGAGATATAGTTACTTGAAGAGTAAAGTATGTTATCAGCTTTCAGGCAAAATTAAATCAAGAGGATGGTGTGATAGACTCATCCGCTCATAGGTTGTGTTTTGTATAACAAAATTTTGCTCAAAACTGTGTTTGTAGTGAATTAGACTGTATGTATCCCCGATTAAATTTAAAAAATTTATGTTTTTATGAGTTATTTTACTATACTGCAATTTTAAAGACAACCTGTGCAAATGCAAAAATACCAGGCCGAATTGCGGTCAAATAGTAAACATTTCTACTGCCACACTAACCTGCGAGACATTTGTGAACTTGTAAAATTATCTATTTCTAGAAAAATAATAACCATAAACAAGACGAATACCTTTTTTTAAGTATAAGTGAATTTTATTATAGCTAAAAATAATATTTTCAAGTGTATTTTATTTACAGAACACGAGCAAGGGTGCAATTGCAGATCACGTTTGCGATTGCTCTATTTTGTATCTACTTGTAAAACGGATGGTTATATATTTGCTGAACATACCTAAGCGCCGGCCATCAAAGCCCAAACATACAAAGGGTATTTCGAGATATATGTTTGTATAATCTTATTATATCGTAGCGCGTTGTGCTTTTAAGATTAATATTTTTTGGGAGTGAAATCCGAGGGATGAACAGAACAGTGTGTGAGTACTTGTAAACGGGGGCCGGCCGACCGGTGCGCGTTGAGCCGTTTTGGCCATAAGCAACGGAGAACGGCAGCACGGTGGGAATAGAGAGCAAGAGAGATGGAAGTGAGCCACTGAAACGCATGGGTATACGGGACGACCAGGACGACTACTGTCCGCGAGAAGCGGCGCGCGGGTTCATGACCGGCGGCGGACGGCCGGCCCCTACCGTCTGCCATTGGTCGGCCGACCTACGATGGGCGTCCCGGTGTCGTTGTGGCGCGCGCGACTCACGATCCGTATACCCGCTGCGTCAGTCACGCCGTGGAGCCACTTGGTGTTCAACAACCCGCTGCGAACACCCCGGACGATCACGCGGACTTGTTCTTCTTTTGCGCGTACGGTTTATTTTCGTGTCGTAATTATTATTAATTTTGTCGGTTTGGTTTAATTTTTAGCGTTCGTCGTCGGTGGTGCGCTATACGTTGGCCGGAATGCTTTGTGCCGGACCGGCGCCGGATTGTTGAGTGCAAAGCCCGAAAAGTCCTTGTGGGCCCGCGCGCGAATCTTTTCGAATTTACACGTCCGTCGGTGCTATTGATAACAGCCAACAACCGGTGTGTGACGCGCGTAAATGACGACGACGACCGCCGCGTTATGTTAAATCCGTTTATGGACAATTCGCCTTTGGCCAGCAGCATGGGCGTCAAAGTCGAGGACGAATACATGGGAGGTCACCCGCAAGACCAGTACCATCACATGCACTACGGGCAACCGCCTCCGCCGCCGCCGCATTCCGGTTATCCGGGCGCCAGGGACTTTCTGATCCGCCGAGACGCCGCGGACTACCATGCGGCCCACCATCAGCACGGCGGTACCGCCGGAGACCTAGGTCTGTATCCGGGCCACCACGATCTGCAATTGCACCACCATCACCACCATCAGGTGTATCCGGCGCCCGTGCCAGTAGCACCGCCGCCATCGGTACCCGTGCCCCGGCACAACGACTACGGGTCGCAAGACCCGTACGGCCAACAGACCGGCGGCGGCGCGTTCTACCGGTACATGCGGCACGGTGGCGGTCCGGCGTCCGCGCTCAAAGACATGTCGTGCTTGTGGATCGACAAACCTGGTCCGCCGATGCGTACGTGTGGCAAGATGTTCGGTTCCATGCAGGACATCGTGTCGCACATCACGGTGGAACACGTCGGAGGGCCCGAGTGTACGACGCACGCGTGCTTCTGGCACGGTTGCGAGCGCAAAGGCCGCCCGTTCAAGGCCAAGTACAAGCTGGTCAACCACATCAGGGTGCACACGGGCGAGAAGCCGTTCCCGTGCCCGTTCCAGGGATGCGGCAAAGTGTTCGCCCGGTCCGAGAATCTCAAAATCCACAAACGAACGCATACAGGTACGTGCGGCCACCGCCTATTTTTGGTTTCTCTATGATTTCCGTTCCGAGAAACCGTTTTTCACTCGTCCGACCGTCATAACTGAAAATAATAAATCATATAATATCGTTGTCCTTCCCGTAGATGACGATAATAACACTGTTCTGCACAATAGTATTAATAACACGCAAGTATAATAAATCCTTTTGCTAGACACGTCATGTGGTCGTTTGTCTGAAAACAAATGTAAAAATAACAAAATTAGTATATCATTTTGTTTTTTATTATCGCTGTCAAATTCGTCCGCGTTGTTAAAACACATTACATCGAATATCCACAACAACATCGAGCCAATTTACCAGCACCGGTTATTCTACTAGATAAAATATTAAAAATACTATTGGGTGGTAGGTGCACGTGACAGGCATTTATCTATAAATAAAAGCGTCATTGCCCGTCGTTACCGTTCGCCGTTCGGCCAATACTATTGCATTCCTTGAACGATTTGCCTAAAATATCCATACAACACTCGGCTATGGCGCTTTCAAACGTTTTTTTTCGCCACACTTTACTTTGCAAAAAATATACCACACAAGTAGTTAATGGCGACCTAGAGATTCACGGACAATATTTATGCAAGCGTATCCATATTTATACAACGTATCCATAATATACATTTTTCTTTGGTAATAACGCGAAGCATTTGTCCCGTTCGGAGCTGTTGTGAAAAAGGAATATAACAATGCAATATAATAATAATGATAATATTTTATAAACGCTTTTTGAAATCATATAGGTACACAAGAAGTATGTTATAATAAAAAAAAATGTTTTTTTATTACTTTCTACCGCGCTCATACGGGTAAATAAAAAAATATTATACAACCGACTGCGACTGGTTTAGGGTGGTTCGAGCACCTCTATTGTGGTCCACCCTTTTTTCCTCTTATTCTTCAAGCGCGGCGGCGTGACATCGACGGTTTCTCTACGACTCTTGAGTCCCGTATTTCTCTTACTTGTGTTTATTTGGATACAGTTTTTTGCAAGTGTCGAACACCAGTAAATAGGACATTTCTTGGTACGTTAAACAAAAAAAAAGGAAATTTTTCCCATCAGAAAACGTACTTCAATTAACTACAACAAAAAAAAAATGTAATTCTTCCAAGAGACGTATGCCGAAATGTGTATCCAATACAAAATGGCGAACCCAATTTTTTTTCTCACGTCATGTTAGGAAAGCTGATAAGTTGCCGGTACTCGATCCAGTTGTATTAATGATTGTCTTTATATAAACAAATTTTACCTTATCAGCTGTATTATTTGAAAATTACTTTAGACACTAGTACAATTCTGTTTGAGAGTATTACTACATTTAAGTTTGTCGATGGTGTGGAAAATTATTATGTCTTTCTAATACCGCTGCATTACATAGATGCAAGTAATTCAACGCGCATCACTTGTTTCCGATACAGAAGCGTTAGAGTAAATAAATGTATATTATGTTTACTTATCAGGCGTGACAAAATATAGTATATTACCCATTTATATAGAGGATCGAAAAGGGCGAATTGGGTTGTTTATAAATTGGACAATAATATGGATTGCTAGTAAAATGGGGTAAAAATGTAAATAAAATATTGTTAATCTTTGTACCTATCTAATATCAAGCAAAAGAAAAATCTGCCGCTAAAAAATTAAGAACCTATACGATGTAAGAGCAGACCGCAGGTTAAAGATGATCTGCTTAAAATGTAATATTTAATAATTATCTATTATTAAGAAACACATTTAATTAAAAAAATAAAAAAGGTAAATGAGAAAATGTATTTCATTAGCGATTCACAATGTTGGGGTCTATATTAAAATGTATACAATAGAGATGTGATTTAAATGCATAGTCAGATTAGGTCGTTACTGTAGGCTCTATAATCACTTGGGCATCGCGAGTAAAAATTATTCATCAATTGCGGGTACAAATATTTATTTGTAAATAGTTGTAATTTATAAACACATTTTTATTTAAAATATTTTTTTGTAACCCCAAAACAATTTACAACAATACCTTTTCTTACAAAAACACATTTCTTATATAATAAATTCAGCAAAGGGGGATTGGGGAATAGTGGAAACGGAACATATTGGGACGGGGGAGGTCACAGGGTTTTCAAGAATTGTTATACTTTCAAATAAACGTTCGGTGCAATTCTGTGGAAATATTTAATATCGATAAAAGCACTGTAAAGAAAAGTATATGTTTAAAATGGTATTTTGAGTACTTGGGTGATTTTTCCTTTTTTTGGGGGGGTCTTCATTAATTAAAAGATTTCACCCCTTAGAGGAAAAAGGAATTTTGATATTTTTATAGTTTGTCAAGGTAGATCGACACTAAATCTAATGAATATTCCATACAAATTTTAAAACAATCCGACCATTTTTAAAAAAGTTGTAAAGCGCTCTAATTGTAATTCAATTTTTTTTTACATTTTTGGGCGTTTTTCTCGATTTCAAAGGGAAAGAGGTGAACTTGATTACATTTGAGCTCAAAAAAGTACCTTTCAGGTACGATATCTGATTAATAGGCTTTCTACTTTAAAACAGTACCTTCTCATCTCAGCATTATGCTAAATTATTACAAATAGATATTGTTATACCTACAATAATTTATAAAGAAAATATTGTAGTTAACCGTAGTTCCGGTCTCCTGTTAAGCCCTTGGCCTTGTGATTAATGGAAAACCCGACCTTGAAGATTTTTCACTTACGGCTGTCACACTAATATCGCTTAACCAGAATAGCATAACCATTTTGTTCGTTTACTTTCGCGCATTCTCATTGAGTTGAAAATTTGTCACAAAGTAGTGACATATTTTAATAATAATATATTTCATTGTTAAATATAGTAATAATTTATAACAATTGTCGAAATAGTTTTAATTTTAATAGATTTTTAAACTAAAATCTGTTGACAAATATGATGTTCTTTACACTTTATGCATTGCATAGTTGTTATATACTTCCGGTTACAATAGTTTTGCAGTTTGCAAGTTCAAAACAACCGCACCCGCTCGTGTGTTAACAATTTAATCGTTGTAAATTATTTCGTGGTTTTATAAGTATTTTTATAACGCGATAGCGTGTTGACAAATTATATAGATGGGTATTATTCGAACTTAAAACCGGGCGACAGTTACTTCAAATCGCAGTTGTATAATTATATAATTTGTATAGTTATTTGTTATTGATACGCCACACAGATAACAAAAGCTATACCTGTGTTGATCATCAAAAAATATTATAAACAGCCGCTAACGACCACCGCGTGTCATAGTGTTATCGACGGACGACAAAAATAATGCATTACAATTTATATAATATTTTAATTATATCAAAAATCGGACATTTTCGAGGAAAAACCGCGATTTTTAAAAGAATTTTATATTGAAATCCTCAAGTATACAATCGGGCGTTGGTCAAGTTTAGAAACCGGTTTCTATAGTGTTCGGATTAGCAATTTTCCCAAACCAATTGAACACCCTGCACATAGTTGGTTAGTGACCGCGGTGAATCCTGCATAATCAGTGCGCCTTATTGTCGGCGCAGTGTTATTAATAATATAAATACTTGGCTTATAAAATTGGCTTGTTCTCGAGTCGATGCTATAATAATTATATTGGCTGGTAAAATTCCTTCCAGCGATTTTTAAGTCTTACGACGCTTGAGGGATTAGAAATTGGAACGTGCATGTACAACATAATACAAGCAATGGTTGTTTAAATATACATATTTGTAATGTATAATATTATCGAACGAGGACATCGGGAACTGGATATCATTATCGTTATTATTATTATAATACTTTTATTTTATTTTCGGTCGTTCTATAAACAAAATAAATTACACGTTCGCGCGTTATGAATGGTACGAGGGGGAGAAAAAAAAAGATGGTAAAAATAAACAAACTGGTTCTGGCCGAGCATAAATTTCGAAAACCGTCGCGCGTTCTCCCACTCGTCCGAGATCGGCTTAGGGAGAAAAAAAACACAAATATATCTGTGTAAGTATAATATTATATATTATTATGTGTACGTCTTATAACATACCGATATTATAATAACCCGTAGTGCGTGGCCATACATTTTGTGTTTTATATACATATATATGCGCACCGCTGAAAGTTTCCATTTATATTATACATCTATACATAAATATATAAATTATATATATATATATAAAACTCCGTAGGTTACTGTGCGACTATTCGTATGATGGCGCCTCATCCGTCCCTTCGTTGCCAGTGGTGGGTGTTAATCACGGTTCTTAAGTGTAGAGAGTGACAGTTTTTGGTTCTCACTTACATACTGGTTTACAAGAAATTGAAACTTAACGGTAAACCAAATTATATTGTATTAAAATATGCGCGTTCAAAGTGATATTCATAACTATTTTATATAATGTACGGTGGCCGTTTGCATCAAATGTATTAAATTTTGGACTTGAAATGTTGAGGTGGATGTGTGTGAGTATAGGTAGAACAATAAGAGGAATTTTGGGTGTTGTATGATAAGTTTGAGATTGCGTTGTATGAAATCGTTGTTTTAACTGGACCTAACTCGTGCGGCATTGAATTTCCCAACTTGAGCTGTTATTTACCTTAGTATTCTCTACTTTTGTTGATTTTTGTTTTTTGGATTAAATGTCGTAGCTATATGTAAGTTTCAAATCGCCTGATAAACAATGTTTGATATTGTTTGTTAGCAATTCGACCATAACGGGACCTAATTGTTTTTTTCTATACTTCGACTGTTGCTTATACTGTATCAGTATTTATATACATGACGGTCGAATGTAACTCGCGGCGGTCTTGCGGTTTTAACGCCACAATTATCGGTTTGCCGGCGCTAAATAATAATTATCATTTGCGGTTTAAACGGTATATAATAATATATTATGTTAACCGCTGAGGTCAAGTAAGTATAACACAGTGTACAGCGGGGAGAAAAAGGTATTCGGAAAATGTAACT